ATGTCCAGTTGTACAGAGAGCAAAGATGACTTTTTCTCCAGGGCCAATTACGGGGGGTCTGATGTTATTCTTCGTAAGAAAAGTGATGGTAAGATAATATCTTCTTTTTTTTCTTTTTAACCTCTCCACTTTGGTACACTTAACTAAAAAATGCATTGTATTTGGGAACCAATTGTAATATTTCGAAAAATAAAGTTGATAAAAAAAAATGGAAATTATTTATGACTCAATATAATATTTACAAGAGTAGATGAGAATTTTTATAACTTAATAAGAAATAAATAAATACTTGGAAAGATTCCATGTGGCCAGAAGATCCTTCATTGTCATTCAACGTGGCCTGATGATCCTTCATTGTGATAATGAAACTTGATTTGCCTCAGTTTTTTACATTTAATCATCTTAAATTTAATTGGCTTAATATTGAATTGAGCCATGTTAAATCTCAAAATGTTTCATTTTTGCACAGTTTTGTATCCAAAAAGCAATTTTTCTAAAAAAGAAAAAGTAATGGATTTTTATTGACAGATTTTTTATTACTTTAAACATTATTTTTAGTGGATACTCATATTTGAGTAGACGTTCTGTTTATCTATTAAGCAGTATATTTATTTTCAGCTACGGATATGTGTGTGTGTGCATAAATTAGGAATTAATGAATATTATTTATAATCCAACATTATTTCTTATATCTATAAATGACGTGTGTTTAGGTAGACATTCTTTTTCCCTTTCTATTTTTTTTTTTCCCCCCACATCTACTGGCGTTGGGCATTCAAGATGCACATATTTCTTAAAAAGGGAGAATGAATCTTGCTTTACTGCAATGTCTTTCATGGCTGATTAGTCTAAAGCACCCACTGCTGGCTTGATGGTTTCTCCTATATAGGAGGGTCAGGTCTCTCGGAAGGCACTATTTCTTTATTAAAGACTCTGTAATGCCAGTAGACATGAATTATGCTGAAACCCCCGTGAATCCACTAATGATAACATTTATAGTAATAAGGTATGCTCCATAACTAATGTTTCCATTCAACAGAATAGAAACACTTTCTTTTTGTATTTTTTAACATAGTCACCACTATTGGCTATCCCTTTTCAAGATGCTCTTCATGTAGTGGTTTGGTTTGTTTTGTTTTGATTTTACAGCATATCAACCTCAATTGATCATTTAATGCCAACAAAATTTATTGTTGGTAATATTTTTTTTTTAAAATCTATTTCTGGTAATATTTTTCCTTCAAAAATTCTATTTCTGGTAATAATTTTTCAATTATGTAATATTTTCCTTTTCTTTAAAAAATGTATAGCTGGTAATATATATTTTTCTTTTTTTCTAAAATATATCGCTGGTAATGTTTGTTTTTCAAAAATGCATTGTTTTTTTTTTTTTTTTTTTTTAGATTTTTCTGTAGATCCCAATTTCTTTAGTGTAATTTATGATGTTACTTGAATTAGTATTTTTGAATAGATCCTTTAGGCTATCCAATTTATAGTGTTTACTATGGATTTGTCAGAGATTATGGTAATTTAATAGGATGTGTTTGACAATATAAGATTCTTGGCATGGGACACATGTTTGGAGGTATCTCGTTTTTTAGGAGATGTTGGTATCTTCATGTAGTGGATTGAGAGGTTTGTAGCAATGCCAAGAATACACTGTGTCATATACATCGTTGTCATTACTATTGAAACACATTTGCCTAACTGTGCTCACATCCACTATTTGTTTTCCAATTGTCAATGCCAATTAACTGATGCAATCTTTTCCAGTTTGAGGAATTCAGTTCAAGTGAGGCAGTAAACAACTAAGATACAAGTGATTACTGGGTGTGAAAAAATTAGAAACAGAAACATTTCTAAGGAGTGAGAACAAAAGAAGAGTGACCAGGAGGACAAGAGATAACAATTGACATTGTCTTTAAATTTTTGAAGATTAAAGTTGGCTGGAAAGCATGGAGCCCAAAGCAGGAAGAGCAAGAAAAACTGTTAGCACAGAATTGCAGTTACACCTAGCCAGCTCAACTGTGAATTGATGAGATCTCAACTAGACACTTTTGCTTTGTATGCACTTTTATGCCAGATACCATTCTGCCAGACTACCACTCAGCTGCTATCTTTAACAAGGAAAAATAAATCATGAGTTATTGGCAAGAATTTTAAAATTCTGTTGTCATTTCACTAACATCTGCCTCCAAACTCATCACATAATAAGAGGCATCACTTTTGGAGCACCTCCTCCTCACTCATATATTCATTTCATTCATGTATTCTTGTATGTCCTTAAATCCCTACATAATGTAATGCATTTCTAAAAGTTTATCTGAGATCCTTTGGGATTAACTGCAGACATTAGGAAGTGTTTTTTCATCTTTACTGGAAAGGCACTGAGTTTGAGATTTTCCTTTTTTGTTTCTTTGGGGATTTTGTTTTTTTTTCATATGGATTGTACTTTTTTTCATATGGGATGTGAATATTTTTAATTATTGCTTTCCTTCTTTAGTGCAATGGAAGGATGCTTTCTGGAATTATTTTTTTTTATAATATATATGATTATTTTTTAATGAATATTTTTCTTTTTCTTTCTTATCACAAATTTTGCACATTACAGCCATGTCACCAGAACATGATGCTGTCAAGTTGCAGCGACGTACATCCTACTTGATGGCCACTGCAAGGGAGCGTACAGAACTCAGTCTCCCTGTTCAGCACCCCCTGGACAGGCTCACCACTGCAACCCATGCTTTGGATTCAATGTAAGTAAATATTATGCATTGTTTCTTAACCAGATGAGGGGTTTCACTAACAATGCTCTATCTCTTTCAACACATTGGGGAGGTGCTACCTGGGAGATGGGTCTCTTGTGCGAAGATGAATTTCATTACAACTCTTACATGAAAACAATAAATAAAATTTATGAAGCTGTTATGAAAACATAAAATTTTGATGGCTGAAGTAAGCTGTTAGTAGTCAGTGTTTGGAATCAAGTAAAAGCTTTCATTTCAAATGCTGATCTTCAAGGCAGCCAGATCTCTTTAGAAATTGTGGAAACATAATTTTTATAAAATACCTCATTTGACCTTGTGCATCCCCTTTTATAGAAGAAACTGGCATTTGATCAGGTGTGCTTTAAACACGTTGGCCACAGAGAGCACATCACAGCTCACTCAGCAAGGTTGTATAAATTCTTTTCAGGAATAATTTCACTCCAAGCAAGGCAATAATGCCAGCAAGATGCCAAGGGTTGCTGAGGGTAAAAAAAAAAAAGAATGGGAAGACTTTAGTGAGGACAATAAGACAACAAGATTCAGATGACAATGATTGATGTTGCATTGAAAGTTTCAAAGAATATAAGTGGCAGAGAAGCAAGAAACCAGAAGAGATGTCCACAGTTGAGAAGTGCAAGAAAAGAAACTATTAGAATACAAATTACACTTTAATCTAACTATTACAACAGTAAAACAATGAGTTGCCAATCTGGTAGTACAGTAAAATTCAAACAGTCAAGGTACCAAGGAGGAAGAGCTCATGAGAACAATTGCTATAAAAATATTTATAAAAAAAACAGAGGGCAGCCATATCACTGTGGTGTTGAAAGTGACTGAAGTCAAAATGCCAGGTCAGGACTGTTAACATTACCAAACCTTCTTTTTGATTTTATCAAGAATCTCAAGTTATAAAGCAGGAGAAACAGATTAGATTTGGCAGCAATCTTCAATGCATGGACAAATGGTACATTTATAAATGTACAAGATAAATTCTGGCAAGAAAAAATTGTCTAGCATAACACAATGAACCAATTTTCCTGCAGTTGATTCAATATAACCACTCCACTTCATGTTAGTGGAACCAAGAAGGCACAATGAGTTGCTCTCCTGGAGGTTAGCATCAGCCATACTGATAGTGGAGAGCAAAAATATTTCTCTATGATTAGTTTATTTTGGAGGTATTAAAATTTACAACACATTTTTTGCACCAGTTAATTGATTGGGGTGTCATTTTCAAGAGCAACTGCTTTGCTTTAAATTGTTGAACCAATCAGACTTACTATTAAGACAGGACTAAGTAGTTGTCATTAGTATAAATACTGAGTTAGGAACAAATGACATTTTGGACATAGAAATCAACATTGCATGGTGAGTGATAGTTTCATGCCTTGTACAATCGTCAGATTATGGTTTGATGATTGATTTCTGTGAGCACCACTGTGTTTATATCTACAAGCGCTGTGTCCCTAATATTGACCACCCATAAATATAATAAATTTTTAAGCATTCATCTCTAAAGAGATGCAAATATGGATGTATTGACTATAATTTTTGAGAGACTGAAGATTCACAAACATTGAAGGCTTGTTTGGATTCCTCCTCCTCCTCCGCATTCATCTTTTTGGATTTGTCAATACAACAAAGGGATTAATCAGCAAAAACATTGTGTTGACATCAAGCAAAATATGCACTGTCTGTGCTTTGAAATCTATTAATTTCTTGTGTGTGTGTGTGTGTGTACACACTGATTACACTATCGGAGACTTTAGCTTGTTTTCATTATTTTAGGCACACTTTACCACATGGTGGCCACCCACAGACAATACATGCTAAAAAACCAAAACCAGCCACCCTGATGGAAGAAAAGGTAGGAATTACAGTTTCTTTCTTGTCTCCATCTTGCTTCATTTCTCACTTTTGATTGTGCTCTCTGTCACTCTGTTTCTGTTTGCTCCCTCGCCCTCTCTACCTTACTCGGTTTTACCCTCTCTTCCTCGCTCGGTTTTACCCTCTCTTTCTCTTCCTCGCTCGGTTTTACCCTCTCTTTCTCTTCCTCGCTCGGTTTACCCTCTCTCTCTCCCTCGCTCGGTTTACCCTCTCGCTCTCTCTCTCTCTCGGTTTACGCTCTCGCTCTCTCGGTTTACCCTCTCGCTCTCTCGGTTTACCCTCTCGCTCTCTCTCTCTCTCTCTCTCTCTCTCGGTTTACCCTCTCGCTCTCTCTCTCTCTCTCTCTCTCTCTCGGTTTACCCTCTCTCTCTTCCCCGCTCGGTTTACCCTCTCTCTCTCTCTCTCTCTCTCTCTTTCTCTTCCCCCTTTCGGTTTACCCCTCTCTCTCTCTTTCTCTTCCTCTTTCGGTTTTACCCCTCTCTCTCTCTCTCTCTTCCTTGCTAGGGTTTGCCCCCCTCTCTCTCTCTCTCTCCTTTATTCGGTTTACCTTTCTCTCTTCCTCACTCGGTTTACCCTCTTTCCCCCTCTCTTCCTCACTTGGTTTACCGTCTTTCTCGCTTGTATTATGCCTCTCTTTCTCATGGTTTACCACCTCTCTCTCTCTCTCTCTCTCTCTCTCTCCCTTCCTCACTCAGTTTACCCCACCTCAATTCACCCTCTCTTTGCTCTTTCTGTCTTTGCTGTATTTCTTGATGAGAAAGGGCAACTTCTTTTTGAAAAAATGTAATTCTTGCATCACTTCCAATGCAGAATGCCTGTGCCACCGCCTCCCCTCCAAACCCTTCATTTCAGTTGATACTTAGCTGCCATCTACCCCAATTCTTTATTCTTTCCAGAGCACACCGTCCATAGCCGAAGAACAGCAGCAGCAGCAGCAGCAGCCACATCAGCAACAACTCCAGACTAAAACAGAGCTTCCACCTCAACCCCCAAGTCCACAATTTGAAACCCTAAAAGAAGGGAACTTGTCCTGTAAAAGTGCCATAATTGATGGAAAGGTAAACACTTTGTTTTCTGTCTTTTTCCTTCTCTCTTCCTCCTCCTCCCTTCAATCTTCTATCATGTCTCTTTCTTCCTTCCCATCCTCACCCGACAGATTTCTTTACCTACTCGGCAATATGATGTCTCTTGGGAAACATCAAATAACAGAATGGTAAGAAAAATAGATGAAGATACTTTTCTGTGAAAAACATTCCTTACAAGACTAAATGATTGCCAGCTCCAAATTTGTTTTTTTTTTGCAGTCATCTCTTCACCGACACAGGCTGTATAGTTTATAAAATGTGATTTCTGTTTCTGTTTTTACCTGAAGGAAAATTATGAAAATATAAGAAAAATATCAGAAGTTGTTTTTTTGTTTTAACTCATCATTAGAATATCTGCAGACATGTTTCTCTCGATCTCTAACTATTGAAGAAAGGCAACATATGAAGAACTGGAATGAGTATGATGTATAGTGATCTACCCGCTGATTCCATGTTCAAGTGATATTCTCACTTATGAAATCTGATGGATCTGGTTTTGTTTAAAAAAAATGTTTTCCTTATCAAAAGCCAGAAATGAAACAGCTTAACAGAAAAAGAAAATGTTTGTTTTTAGCCAAGACCCATCCCAACTTTTCTATAGACTTTTTCAAAATAATTCATAAATAAAGTAGATTTCTCAGAAGGGAAACTGATGGTGATGTTGCTCAAACTTATGAACTTATGACCTGCATAAAGAGAATTACTGATATATATATATATATATATATATATATATATATATATATATATATAGAGAGAGAGATAATATTAGTGGTAAATATACACATACATATGCAAAATATATAAATATATATACATAGATTTTCTGGAGTTGTTTTTTCTGTTTTTTTTTTGAATTTGTAGGTCTGATGAATTGGATCGTATTTACAATTCCAATGGATTAAATTATGACCATGAAATATTAGTGTTTAAGCCTTTTTTTTTATATATATATATATATATATATATATATATATATAATTTATTCGAAAATTTTAACATAAATATGTTATAAAATCACTACAAAAATAGACATTTTGTTTCAACACTTCTGGTGTCTTATCAAGTGTTGAATACTCTGTATTGCACTCTTTTAAGAATACATTTTTTTAGAATAGCATTTTTGGTTATTGGAAAATTTACGCGTTTTCCATATGCATATATATATATATATATATATATATATATATGTGTGTATATATATATATATATATATAAAATATTTTATATTATGTATATGTATGTATATATTTTGACATTTATGGACTTCATATAGACTTATATATATGTATATATATATATATATATATATATATATATATATATATATATATATATGTATTCCTCTGGTAAGGAGGAAGTTCCACTCACACAGCTTCTACCCCAGAACTGTCACTCTCTGGAACTGACTCCTGAGAGGATACTTCCCCAAACTCTACAATTTTAAGCTTTTCAAGTAGGTATCTTCACTACTTCACTAAAAAAGTGCAAACCCTGATGAATAAAGGCCCCAAACTTGATAAACAATTTTTTATCATCTAAATGTTTGTTATTATTAAGAGGAAAGACCAAAGCATTTTTTTTTTTTGAGTCAGTAAAATTGCCACAAAATCAATCATGTCCACCATTTTTGACAATTTTGTAAGCAAAAATGAAATTCTCCATTTAAGATCTTGTAAAATTCAATTAAGTTTTTTTCAAAAGTTATTGAAAATTAGAAAATTTAAAGTTTACTTAATGTACATTACTTAATTTTTTAGCAGAAAAAATTTATTTGAAAATAAGAGAAGCATGTCTAACCATGGTGATTGATTTTGGAGGTGAGAATTGACGTTTATGTCTATGTATTGACGACTAATATCAGAGCAATTTATTGGACAAAAAGACAGAAGTGACAGTATTTTCAAATTTTAAGTGAACCAGCTTATTTAACTATGAAGCAATTCTTAAAAATTAAATACTTTCAAAAGTCTAGTATTGTTTTTTTTTTTTTCTTAGGTACTTTTTTTTTAACAAAGATATGTCTGAAACCTGCATTGCATCCATGAAATTGAATCTAAAAAAGAAAATAATTTATAATTGCTGTATGTCTCTCATTGAAAAACAATAAATTAATATATTTAAAAAATGAAATTAAAATATTTAGTGAAACGGTATGTAAAAAAGAAAATTTAAAAATTTGAAAATGTTACAATGACGATCAGTCAGAGAATTTGATACATGCTAGCCAGAAGGAAAGTAAAACAATTTCTTAAGACCTTTCTCTTAAAACACATGACCTTTTATTTCTGAGCTATGCATTTATAGTTTTAGAGAAAACGTTTTTCATACTTTTTTTGCATATTAAAAAATATTTTAAAAATATTATTGTATTGCAGATTGTAACAAGCTTTCAAAGTTATGATCCTTAAAAATAGATCTTTTTTATAACAGCATTTCCAAAAAGACACAGATTCAAACATAATTTTAAAATATTTAACAACTTTATCACATTTTGTATTTAAAATTGAAAAATAAAATTCTTGTAAAAATCCATTTTTCACTGGGAAAATATTTTGGCTTCAGACAATAGTGTCCTTAATATATATTATTCATAAAAGCTTTTTACTTAAATAATGTCTTAGTTTTATTAGGTTTTGTATTTTACAATTCAGAGCTGAATTTTTAATTAAACCAGGTTTCGATTTACAAAAAAATCAATGATTTATATTCTTTTAACTAATATAATCACAAAATTGCTCAGTCGAATTTTCGAGTTTTCATAAATTAAATGGTGGGTGTGGATAACAGATGTAAAACAAATATTTTTATAATGACTTTCTAAAAAACAAACAGTTCCAAAATAATTTCATTTGTTTGTGAATAAGTTCTGAAAGTTTCACTAAAATCTGACAATTGTTTGATTATTGCAAGAATTTCCAGATTAATGCTTTTCAACTGAAAAAAAGGCACTAAAAAAAAACAATGGTAAATCTTACATGACTGCTGATGTTAAAAAAAAAACAAAAAAAATGAATTAACAAAAATTTCAAACATACTAGAAAGGTATCTGTCTATATTTCTGAGATGAGATATTATGTACAGTATTTACATTATTCGGACTATTGTCCTCATCTTTGTCACCATATTTATTACAACGTTTTGGCCATTGTACGCTCCAGCCTTCTTCGGGTAGTTGTAATATCGAACTGAACCCTTTATTTCGCTCATTGGAGTAGACTTCTAGTTCCATGTGCCATGTTTAATGGATGTCAGTTATCTCCTGTTAATTCCCCTCTCCAAGTTCTCCACTGCCTTATCCGGGTATCAAGGACACATAGCACAGTGGATAAAGGCATTAGTTAGATCCAGTGACAAGACCCAAAAGAGTGTGAGTTCAAATAAAGAAATAATTAAAAAAATACTTTGGTCTTTCCTCTTAAACATTTTGACATTTTTTTTTTATTTTGACTTATTTTGACTCATCCCCGACACCTTACAACAATCTCGTTCAGTAATCCTCTACCGCAAGTGGCTCTTGGGCCTTTTATAGGATGAATGATAATAAAAGGAAATAAGAGAAAAACCTTTTATGCTGACACATTTTGTTTCTGGGAGAACATTATCACAGCAAATCCAGAAATTTTATTGAAAAAGACTATTTAAAAATCTGCATGAAACTCAAAAACGCTGATTCTTGTATTTTGTTTTCTTCCTTGTCAAACTATGATAATGTATTTTTATTAAAGAGATTTGTGAAAAGAAAGTTGTGAATGAATTATGGACATTTTTTCTTTTTCCTTGCAGAGATCCAGTGACCGTTCCTGGAAAACTTACATGGTACTCTTAAAAGGTCATGAACTTTATCTCCAAGATAAACGAAAAGAGGGCAATACAAATGTAAGTGTAACAAGCAATATTTTTTCTTAAATAATCTCAATTTTGATCCAGGGTTGTCATTAGATACCTTTTGAGTTTCAAATAGGCTACATTAATTATTCTTTTCAAGAGGGGAGGGGAGGATGATACCCTTGTGACGTGCTTATTAAAACCACCCCTTTTATTAAATATTCAGGAAATTCATGGAAACAGCATGCATTCTTGGACAAAGCATTTCATTACTGAAATTATGAAAACATTTCTGCCCTCTCCTTTTATTCCAACCACCCTGTCTCTTTGAAAATCAAATGTAATTGAACGGAGAAAACATATCTAATGACAAAATTCATTTTGTCAACCCAATTTTAAACATTCAATAATTTACTAAAGAATTTTTAACAATTGATAAATATGACAAAATAAAATCGGAAAAGTTTCAAAAGTTACTATTTGCAAAAAGAATTGATGAAAATATTTTTATTTTCTGTCAAACATGAAAATAGTAATGTTTAACTTTTTACAAATAGTTTTGTATGTATGTGTGTGTGTGTGTGTGTGTGTGTGTGTATATATATATATATATATATATATACACATATATATATTGTGTGTATTTAGGCAGCATATTTTCATTTATACACGTTTCATTAAATAATATAGACAAGTGTTGTCTATTTATTTTATGTAAAATTTGTTCAGACTTCTGATAAGTTTGATAACATTATCATTAAACGAAGAAAGAAATTCACAATATTGATCCATATTTTTAATATAATCTAAGCTTTCGCTTACTTAAGCCATTATCAAAGATGTAAATCACAAACATATTAAACAATATACGGACACGACAGTGATGATAGTCTGTCATTGTTTACATAGTGGATCACTAACAACGATAAACACGCGCATATAAGATGCTAGAAGCGAAAATCCCACCGCATCTCATGACATCACACATGACTACACGAGAGTGAATTGTAGAATGAAATAAGGAAAGCCGTTGGTATAAACCAATGGCTTCTGTTACCAATTATAGACATTTAAGAATATTTGTAGACATGCCATAATTGATTTTGTTTAGGTTGGGTTTTAACTGTTTGATGTATAATGCTTCAAGTATTTTTAGTTTTTGTCTATTGTTTTCATGTCAAAGTATAGTTGTGTTTTCGACCATCACACCACAAACTCGCTTTCATGACGCTTGACACTACATTTTAATGAAAACTCTAACATTTTAGGCATTTAAAACAACATGCCTGCCCGCACACACAATTCCGTAAAATACTTGTCGAAAACACAACTATACTTGTGATTTACATCTTTGATAATGGCTTAAGTAAGGCCTAAAGCTTAGATTATATTAAAAATATGGATCAATATTGTGAATTTCTTTCTTCGTTTAATGATAATGTTATCAAACTTATCAGAAGTTATTTGAACAAATTTTACATAAAATAAATAGAACACTTGTCTATATTATTTAATGAAACGTGTATAAATATATATATATATATATACATGAATTATTCACACAAAACTAATGCAAAGGTTAATGATTTAAATGAGACATCCATCTCGCAAAACAATTCAAATAGTACACAAAAACCTCCAGATCCGTTATGAATGAATTGATCCTTGTTTATATAAATTTCTGCGATTAGTTGTTATTTTTTTACTACAAGCTTTCGTCTGTTCCTACAGACATCTTCAGGTATATAATAGATGTTGTTCTTGTTTTTTCTCTTAGTAATAAGAGGACATTGAAAATATATGTGTATTGTATCCAAATGCTATTGAAAATGAGATATTGGTTTTGAATGCGCCAAAGCTTATTACTAAGAGAAAAAAACAAGAACAACATCTATTATATACCTGAAGATGTCTGTAGGAACAGACGAAAGCTTGTAGTAAAAAATAACAACTAATACGGCAGAAATTTATATAAACAAGGATCAATTCATTCATAACGGATCTGGAGGTTTTTGTACTATTTGAATTGTTTATAGATGGATGTCTCGCCATTTAAATCATTAACCTTTGCATTAGTTTTTGTGAATAATTCATGTATTTGTAAATTGATTGCACGCTTATTGTAATATATATATATATATATATATATATATATATATATATATATATACACACATTTTGATATCAAAATGGTTTTGTAAACAAACCTAGTCTGATGAAGTTTTAAAGAACAAAATGTGTCACACAAAAACTTTTTCCACTTTGTCATACATCTTTCTTCCACACACACACACACACACATATATATATATATATATATATATATATATATATATATATATATATATAAAACATAGAATTTTAAGGTATGCTATATTTATAGGTTTAAAGTTCTCAATATCAGAGACAGAGCGTATGCAAATATAAAAAGAGCATTGAAGTCAACACCCAGATGTGACATGGCCTGATGATTGCATTTAGCATGAAACAGACTGTCACCTCTGGCTGTTGACTTCAATGTCTACTTATATAAAGAAAAGGAAGCTTTTCTTTTGCCCTCTGATGGACTTTATAAAGACAAATGTAAGGATTTTATTTTGTGACATGTATTCATAAACAGAACTAAAGATGTTAGTTTTGCAAAAGTTTTAGATTTAAGAGACACTCATAAATATTCTTCAGGTGTGAGTCAAGGTAAATTATGGAGGATGCTAAGTGATGTCATTTAAATTCTAATAAATGCAAGTAGTGTTGTTGTTGTTGTTGTTGTTGCTGATTTTTTTTTTTTTTTTTTTTTTTTTCTTTATTTCCTATTTTATTTTAATTTAATTTGATGAATTATTTATTTATTTTAATAATAGAAAGTTTTCATTTAAGCATTTTCTTTTAATTAAAAAAAATATTTATAGTCATGCATTTTGGCTTGGGAAAGGAGTATATATGTTTTAGTGGATATTTTTGTAAATCGTCAGTAAAGAAAAATTTTCCTTTTGTCTTTATTCATATTGTCTTTTTTACAGTCACTTTCTCACAGACGCACCGTCGCCTCCCTCTGTCTGTTCTACAAATACTTTCATGGAAATTGCTCCGAGGAACTGCATTCGCTGGTTCCCAAACTTCATGAGTTCAAGCGCCCCACGAGGCTGGCATCCCGCTCTCACCCCTTCACTGTTAAACTCATAAATGTAGCCGTCTCTACTACTCTAATAGCTTCATGTCTCGCACCTCTCGCCCGTGGAACTCTCTTCCCTTCTCCTGTTTCCCTGAGAGTTATAATCTCCAGCTATTCAAGTGTAATGTCAATCGACATCTCCAGTTGCCTTAATCTATCTACTACCCTCATCCTTTCTTCTATCACTCCTATCTGATCTTCCTATTTTCTGTAACCCCTTGCGTCCTAGTGGCTCCCCGCCTTGCTTGGGGTGAAATGCTTAAAAAAAAAAAAAAAAAAAAAAAGATATATTTTTATTTGTATCTGAATTTTTACACACCCGCGTAGGAAAATGAAAAAATGGGCTATATATGGTTTATATACAATGCACTGCACACATATATTTATCACATTGACTGCCAACTAGAAGATAACTCGTGGTTAACAGTTTTTATTATGATGCCAATTATGAGTTATTTTGTGCTGGACATTTTCTGATACATTTTCATCTGCGAGCAACAACAATAGATTTATTTTCAGTGATACTTTTAGTGTAAAAACAATGTTATGACTTCAACTGAAGCTTGAAATCAACAAATAAAATTTTTTTTATTGCCTAAGTTGGCTATTATAACATTGGCATTTGAAGTCAGATTTTGTAATTGGCATCTGGAAATCAACGTATTAAATTAGAAATGTAGCCTTCCTAAAAATGCAAAGATAAAGCTAATAATTTTTTTTTCTTTTTCTTTATTTCACTGATAACATTCACGTTCCTGTTAATGGCTAGAGAAGTTCATAAATCCGCAAACAAAACACTATGAACTTTGAACAAGTCTCTATAAATTTGGTCGGGATGGACAACAACTTATACACAAACTAGAAAAAAATGTTTAAATAAAGCAAAGTGTCAGTTGATTTTAATAAATTTTGTTTGAATACTTCTTTAGAAATTGCTTTGTTTATATTTCGGATATGAAACTGAATAGATATGAACTTTTGAAAATCTGAACACGGAAAAGTGTGCTTAAAAGGCAAAATAGAATCCTGCTTAATCACAATGCTCTTTGTGACTCAAATGGTTAAAACACATTTGATCTAATGACAGTTTCTCCTGCAAAGAAAGACAGAGTTCAAATCCTGCCAGAGGATGCTTCTTTCTCTAAAATTTTTCAAATGTTCAGGCTTGTAGATGAAATAAAATACTGTTTTTAAAAAAATAAACAGGGTATCTACTCAGATATGGATATCCATTAAAAATAACATTAAATTAATTCATTGCTTTTTTTATATACAAAATAGTGAATTTCAACCTGTTTGAAAGCAAAAGCAAACCGCTTACAAGCATATGAGTGAGTGTGGTAATTGGTCAAACAATTCATGCTTGTTTGGTTAATTTCACTGACCAAGAGTGGAGTGGGATTTAGGTAGATTTTAAATCATTTCATCCCAAGCAAGGCAGGAGTGCCTTGGTACGCAGGATGTTACAGAGAATGAAAGAAAAAACTTGGATTTAGGTAGATTGAGGATAAAAGATGAGTGGGGAATTCTAGTCAACAGAAGATGGCAATTGACATTGCATTTAAATTTTTGAAGATTGTAATTATCATGTAAGCAAGTAAGCAGAGGTGAATTCCACTGTCGTAAAGTGTGAGAAAAGAAACTGCTGATTACATTTAACTACTTCAATGCTAAAAGTATGGGACCTAGATGCCAACCTAGTAACATGCTTAAATTCATGTAATTAGGGTAGCAGGGAAAAAACTTGTCAGAGGAGTTACCATGAAAATATTTGTAGAAAAGACTGAGGGAAGCCACATGAATTCATCTCTTCTCTGAAATACTGAACTTGTACTTAATATACTTAAGTAAATTCTTTCTCATTTGTTTTCCATGGAGATCTTCAATCAATATTTGTTTTTCTTTTCCAGTCTCAGTTCTTAACGGAGATGGAACAGCCAGTATCCATCAAGGGTTCATTGGTAGAAGTGGCCACTGACTACACCAAGAAGAAATACGTCTTTCGTCTGACCACACAAAATGGGTCAGAATTTTTATTCCAGGCTGATGACTCTGATACGATGATGTCCTGGATTCAGGCCATCAAAACAAACAGTGAACAGGAAGATGAGGTATCTGCTGATTGATTTTCTTTTTTTTTAAAGCACTGAGTCACCTTCTAAATCATCCAATACCCAATTGAAAATCGAGAACACATTTTCAACAAGCCTCAGTTACCTATTTAAAAAAAAGTACATATTTTGTTGGGACACACCAAAGTCTGTATTTAGTGATTTTAGTAACCAAAATGTAAAAAAAGGAACTTTTTAAATGGACACATGGCACAGTGGATAAAGGTGTTGGTTAGATCCAGTGACAGGACCCAAAGAGTGTGAGTTCAATACCCGGTTAAGGCAGTGGAGAACTTGGAAAGGTGAATTAACAGGTGATAACTGATAATGGACATCCATTAAACATGGCATGTGGAACTAGAACAGCCTACCCCAGTGAGCAAAATAAAGGGTTCAGTTCGACATTCCAACCAGTTGAAGAAGGCCGGAGCATACAACGGCTGAAATGTAATAAATATGGCAACAAAGATGAGGACAATAATCTGCATAATGTAAATAATACCTCATCTCAGAAATATAGACAGATACTAAAAATTTTTAATTCTACATAATTTTATATTACTATAAATGTGAATGGGAACATGAGTCTGAATTGACATATCCCTCATTTTAATCAGTGAAATTAATGTCGATCCTTACTAAAGAAAATTGTACCTCCTGACAGGAATCTTACTTGTATTCCTTTTTTTTTCTGTCACAGAAATCACTCCTTTAGTTAAAGTGTGCTCTACCAATTAGGCCACGGGAGACCATGGTGAAAAACAAAGCTCAATTTATGACTATTTTGCTCAACATTATTCTGTAAAAAGAGATTTTTTTTTTAAATGTTTGGCACAAGGTCATAATTTAGAGAATGCAGCTAAGGATCAGATTATTTGTGAAATTCACTTGTTTGTTGTTGCATTATCAGGATGGAAGGTGGGAGCAGTTAAATATGAAGATAAATATCTGCTAAGTTCATCCATGCTATTGGAACCCCTTTTCAAAGTGGGTAGCAGACATCTGCTGAGAAATCTCAGTCAGCTGTGGTATATCAAAACTTTGTTTAAAAATAAAAAAATCATGTATACTGCTACCACTTAACATTAAAACTTCACCAGTTGAAGTGTCTGATGGCAGATCCCATGTCCCTGCAACAGTATTGGGGAACTCTCCTGTCTCTCTGTTCACAAATGAACTAACCATTTAATATTAACAAGAAAATAGCCTACCTAGGGCAATGATATCTTAGTCCCTTCAGAATGCTTCCAACTTTTCTAAACAGTCTGCAAAACTTCTTTAGGATTACCATTAGCTACCTTGTCACATTCTCCTTAATCTCGTCCATGGTCTGAAATTTCTTCCCTTTCAACAGAAATAGCCAAAAGTTTCAAGGGACCAAATCTAAATCAGGTGCTGGTGGAATGGGGGGGGGTGCGGGGAGGTTACACACCTGGTGGATGAGATTTTTTGCTAAAATCCCTGCATAATATTTTGCTATTCTACTCAAAGGCTGCACAACCAGTTCTTGAGGTATTTAAACTGGCAGGATACAATCCAGTCAGACCTCAGGCAATATCAACTAAATTTGATATTTGAGCAAGACCCGGATAAGCAAAAGACCACCCTTATTATCCAATAAGGACAAAAATTACTATTGATATTTACTAATCTTAGCTTAGTAAGGTACAAGGTTATAAGTTTAGGACACCCAGTGAAGAACAAACTTGTTTCAACAGTATTGATTTTTCTCATTTATTTGTAATTTTTTTCCCTTTCTCAAAGTCCTGAATTTCCAAAAAATACATTGTTGACCTCTTCAAGTCTAGAGTCACTTATTATCTAACCTACATGCCCTCATAATGTTCTTTTCCTACTTCCTTCTCTTGCATTCATATCATATGGCCTCATTGATTAATGCTCTACTTTGAGTGTCTCTTCATTAGTAAAAAAATAAATTTTTTAAACTGCTTTCTCTGTTTTTTTCCTCTCCTTTTCTTCTTTCTCTCTCTCTTTCCTTTTCCAACTCTCTTTTACACTCTTCCCCCCCCCGCGGTCTCTCCCACACTTATCCTCTCTCTTCTCTCGCACACTATACAATTCCCTTCTCCACACATCACTAGACTAACAACCCCAAAGTGATGAAACATTATCACTTCCAATTCCATTAATTTAACTTTTTGTGTATGGCAAATCAGCAGCAGTATTTCACAACATTTAAAATTTAGTATGTCTACTAAAACGTGAAAATCCATTAAAAATAATGTTTAAAGCATTGGGAAATATATGCATAGTTTCCATTGTCTCTTTCAAAGTGGTATTTCTCAAAAAAGATACTGAAAAAAGTTAACATTGTATTTTGCAAGCCACATCTATGCCTCTTTCTCTCCAAAGAGTTTTGACTCTTTTAAATCATTTACTTTGAGTTCAATTTGCACCAACTACATCATAATATGATTTGCTATTAGAGGAAAGACGACTTTTAATTATCGGTTGATTGTTAATTCTCATTTTTTCATTTTCAGATAAGAATTGGTGATACAGAAGCTACGTCTGCACCAAATGCCAAAATCTCTCCACAAATGCCCTCCAAGAGTTCTAAAAAACTATCTGGCCTGTCTTTTCGACCAAAAATCACGCATTCCCCTAACCTGCGTAGGCGAAAAACTGGTAAAATTTATTCATAATTGTTTTGATTTGTTTCTGGCAGAGACTGAAAGTTTGTATTTTGTGATCTTGTCTGAAAGAATAACAGTTAAATAGTCCAGGTTGCTTGGGTAACTTTTTTTTTTTTTTTTTTCCATTTCATTTATTCATGGCTGAAAAGTGAGTGTCTGAGGGTTGTGACAAATAGTAATTGAAATTCAGTTTTTATAGAATTGTAGTTAAAAAATTAAAAACAATACACACTATTTTTTTCTTTTTTTTTTTTTTTTTCTTTTTTTTTTCTTTTTTCTTTCTTTTTTCTTTTTTCTTTATTTTTTCCTCTTTTTCTTTATTTTATTTCTTTTTTTCATTATCCTTTCTTTTTTTTTCTTTTTTTCGTTTTTTCTTTTTCTTTCTTTTTCTTTTTTTTTTTTTTTTTTTTTTTTTTTTTTCTTTTTTCTTTTTCTTTCTTTTTTCTTTTTTTTTTTTTTCTTTTTTTTTTTTTTTTTTTTTTTTTCTTTTTTTTTCTTTTTTTTTTTTTTTTTTTTTTTTTCTTTTTTTTTTTTTTTTTTTTTTTTTTTTTTTTTTTTTTTTTTTTTTTTTTTTTTTTTTTTTCTTTTTTTTTCTTTTTTCTTTTTTTTTCTTTTTTTCTTTTTTTTTCTTTTTTTCTTTTTCTTTCTTCTTTTTCTTTACAGTTATACTTTTCATATTCTAACATTTTTGTATGACATGTATTGCAAAATAAACCTTAAACTAACATAAAGACAATTTATTTGCCTTATCTTTTCCAGAAGAAGGTTCCAAGAGTAAAAGTTGGAAAGGTAAACTTGACAGATTTAAAAAGAAAGGCAACAACACAGCACCAGTTCTTGAGAAACCAAGTGGCTGTTTTGGAATTCCACTCCACAACTGCATTCAGTCACCATACAAAGAGGTATGTATGTGTCCGCTGCAGGCTTGCAGTGACCACCCAGAATGCCTGCGGTCATTCTGGGTAGCCACTGCAGGCCCAGGGTGTCCTAATGCAGAGATTATTTCTGTATCTCATTATTTTTAATTTTCATATGCAATGGAATAGTAAATAAAGACCAAGTTTAAATTCAACTCCAGTGTCAGAAAAAGCATTTTGACTTTGTTCTTTTCATTGATGTTAATAGAAATCTGTGTAGATGTTCTGTATTATAATGATTATCAAGTAAAGATATTTCAGGAAATGATTTAATAACTGATAGTCATGTTCAAAGGTCAATGTGGTGAGTCTTACCAGAGTTAATTCTAGAAAACACTGTAATCATAGCTTGATTTAAGATAAAGTTTGCTGGAACTTTAAGGAATCCGCTCAATGATAGTAATGTGTGTGTGTAATATAATAAGACGAAAAGCTTTCACACTGTAACAGTAACAGCAATCATCAGGCAGATAAAACTTAATTTTGTTTTATATTTTAAGCTTTTAGATTATTTTAAATTTTAGCTTATATTTTATTAGTTTGTGTGCATGTTTTGATTGATTTGTTTTCTACATTTTATCAACCCTTTGAAGACAAAAAAAAATTTTTTTTAGATAATGATTTAGTGATACAAGCCTTGCTAATTAATCCATAGCTTGGGGGTTTGAAGAGGTAGCTTCATATTTTTTTCCCAAGAATATTTATACACAAGTGAATATAACAAACTTAACTTGAATTGGAATTTGACAATCTGATTAACAATTCTAAGCCATTATCCATTACACCATCTGCACATCCAAGGTTACGACACCTGGTATACCCAAACGGTCACCCATCTAGGTGACTGTTTGGGTATACCAGGTTTGATGTTGCTTAACTTTAGTGATTATACAGGAACCAGTTTTTCAATGTGGAGTACTCATAATCCTTGTGTGTGGAGATTATATATAAAATTAGGTGATCAACCAATTCCGCTAACTTGGTTTCAACCTTTCGGTATCTTCAGGTGATTTCAGTCAAATTGATTTCCTTATGCTTTATTTTATATATATATATATATATATATATATATATATATATATATATATATGAGAGAGAGTCTGTTTAGGTGGCAATACTTTGTTTAACCACTTTATTAAATAAAATCAACAGACTTATATCAAATAATTTGAAACCAGAAGAAACTCCCCAAAAAAGTCAGCAGGCATTCTATGTCCATTTTTAATTGTTTAAGGGAATGTATGTGTGTCTGCACACACGCACACTAGTAACCAAACCAGATATACAAATACTAAAGCATGACTATCATATTTTTGTTTTAACCATTTCAGGTTCTATCAACCTCTTGAAATGTGAGCTGCAATGATTCCAAAATCCTGCATATGGAAATGTAGTTTTAAAAAAAATGAATGAATTCTTTGACTTTACAAGATTTTTTTTTCTTTTCTTTGCCCAGGGTGTCCCTTTCATGGTGGATCTTTGCACAAGAATTGTAGAAGCCCGAGGACTTGAGGTTGTTGGCGTATACAGGGTCCCTGGCAATAAACTAGCCATTTCTATGATGCAAGAAGAACTTAATAAAGTAAGAACTTCTTTTCTTTTTATTATTTCATCCCAAGCAAGGCAATAAAGTCACTAAAACTCAAGGTATTACTGAGTATTAGAGAATATAAGGAAAAAAAACACTATAAAGGAGAGAGAACACTAAAAGAACAGGAATTAAGAAGACAAAAGACAACGATTGACACTGCATTTAAATTTTTGAAGATCAAAGCTTACTGAGAAGTAAGAAGCCGGAAGAGTTTTCCACAAGTAGCAGACATTTCAAGTGAAAAATGATGAGACCTTGCCACCAATCTAGTACTGTGCTTAAATTTGTAAAGTCTAGGTACCATAGAGGAAAGCTCATTAGAACAATTATCATGAAAATATTTTCAGAAAAGGCACAGGAAGCTTATATTATGGTGATGATAAAGGGACTGATGCAGAGATGCCAGGTCAGAACCAATATCATTGAAAATTCTTCTTTGTATTTTATCAAGAATCTCTAAATACATAAAAGCACCAGACCAGATGTGGTAGCAATATTCAATGCATGGAGAAATTGTCAACTTATAAAGATGCAAGGTAGATTCTGATAAATCATCTCATGCAATATAGTGAACCAACTTTCTTAGCAGCAAACTTAGCAAATATCTTTTCACTTTTATGCTAAGAGAAAAAAAAAATGTCTTCCTTTTTTTTTTTTCTTTCTTTCTTTTTTCCTTTCTTTTCTTCCTTTTTCTCCTTTTATTTTTTTTCTCTTTTTCTTTCTTCTATCTTTTCCTTTTTTTTTCTCTTTCTTTCCATTCTTTCTTTGTTTATCATACAATATACATAGAGAATAGGGAAATGAAAACTTGTTATGTGCCTAATATTCTTATGGACTTGAACAGTTAGAGTTCAAAAAGTGCTGAAGCAGCAAAATTAATATGAACAAAAATCTCATTGAAAAATGAATAAATTCTTTTCAATTTGTCTTTTCAGGGAATCGATTACATAAACCTTGACAATGAAAAATGGCTGGATGTAAATGTTATAAGCAGTTTACTTAAAGGTTTTTTCCGAAAACTTCCTGATCCGCTGGTCACCAATAGTAAGATTTCTCTTTTTTTCTTTTCATTTTTACTTAATTTTAACAAGCCTATTTTTCTAATCAATCACACTCTCTCTCTCTCTCTCTCTCTCTCTAGACTTCCATCCCTCTCTCTCTCTCTAGTCTTCTATCCCATCTCTCTGTCTCCCTTTAGTCCCTCTTCCCCTCCTCCTCCTCTCTCTCTCTCTCTGGTCTTCTATAACATCCATCTCTCTAGTTATCTATCCCATCCCTCTGGCTTCCTCTGGTCTTCTTTCCCTCCTCCTCTTTCCCTCTGGTCTTCTTTTCCTCCACCTCTCTCACCCTTGGCTTTTTTCTCTCCACTTCTCTCCCTCTAGTTTTTTTCCCTCCTCCTTTCTCCCTCTAGTCTTCCTCACCTTCCTTTTTCCTCCCCTCTCTCTCTTGCCTTCCTTTTTCCTCCCCTCTCTCTCTTGCCTTCCTTTTTCCTCCCCTCTCTCTCTTGCCTTCCTTTTCCTCCCCCCTCTCTCTCTCTCGCCTTCCTTTTCCTCCCCCCTCTCTCTCGCCTTCCTTTTCCTCCCCCCCCTCTCTCTCGCCTTTCCCCCCCCCCTCTCTGTCTCTCCCCCTTCCTTTTTTCCCTCTCTCTCTCTCTCTCCTTCCTTTTTCCCCCCCCCCTCTCTCTTGCCTTCCTTTTTCCTCCCCTCTCTCTCTCCCCTTCCTTTTCCCTCCCCTTTCCTCTTTTTCTATCTTTCCTTTATCCTCTTTGAATAACACACTCACTATTTCTTTTGTTTCCTTCTCAATTGTTATTCTCCGTCTATACTGCTTTTCTTCCTCTTTTTGTCTTCTTCACATTTCAGTAGATCCACTCTTTACTCAGGGCTATTCAATAAACTTATCTTTGGTGTTTGGCCATAAATCTTGAGCACCCAGTGAGGATCAAACTCGTTGCACTGTAGTAACTGATTGCTAAACTTGCTTGTTAAGTCTCATGGTGACGCACAAGGCAACATTTGTATGGAGCACACTGTGATGATCAAGCTCATTATACCCGCAAATTGATGTGCGAGACAAATTGGCTAACCATTGCACTACCCATTTCAATTATTTATCCTGTCTGGCACAAGGCCATAAGAGGGGAGCACTCTATGTGGATTGAACACATGACACTGTTACCATGTACTATTCATTGTATCAATGATATTCATAAATTATTAAATAATGAAGCATTGTGGGAAATTTTTTTCCAATTTAAAATAATTTTTTTTTTTTTTTTTTTTTTTTTCAGAATTGTATCCCAGTTTTATTAAAGCAAACCAAATTGAACCTGCACAAAAACGGATGCTGACACTAAAGCGATTGTTGCATCAATTACCTGACAACCACTTTGAAACTTTTCGTCATTTAGCACTTCATCTCCGCAAAGTGGCTGACCACAGCTCAATAAACAAGGTTCAATATGTTTTTTTTTCTCACCCCTATATCATCCTTCCTCTATTTAAAGTCATCTTGATAAGACAGTGTTTCCTGTTGACATTCAAACTTTCACACATCCTAAAATAAGGGTCTTGTAAAAATATAGTTGACTTTTCTGGACAAAAATAACAAGGTCACATTATTCATGAAAAAAATTAAAAAAAAACACAGAGGATCACATTATACAAAGATAAAGATGGTACTCCAAATTAAATACAAGCAATGAAAAAAACAATGTTGTAAATTTTAATCAACCATTTGACCTGGCATAAAACATTTTTCATCCACTTGTCCTCAGAAATTGATTTCCAGAAATGCTATGGTCAATGATGATACCAATGCACATGCCATGCACCATTTATAATGACAAAAGTTTTATTTAATATATTTAATATTTATTTGATATCATTTAATATTTATATGTTGAAAGTTGAATGTCATGTTACAGTATTAAACAAGTTTATCCATGTCATTTTTGGTAACAACATATTTTTATTATTACATTTTGGTTTGTCAGTTTTGAAATATAATTTTCCAGTTCTTATAATTCTATATAGCAATTCTGGGAGAGCAGTTTATTACTCAACAACACTTGTAAGATGATCCCCCCACTTTATGTCCATTAAAATTTTATATTAATTTATACAAATACATATGGTATATATATCACATGATATTGGGAAAACTTGCAGAAATTTAAGAAAAATATATCTATGAACATAAAATGACCTTATACACAACAAATTTTCAAATGCATTAGTCATAGATAGAAATAAATTCAACCACAACTTTGAATGAACAAATACTACACTTATTAAAAAAAAAAAAAAAGTAAGTAACTTAGAAGGAAAATTCTTGAAAGTGTCACTACTGAATCTTGTCAAATTATAAATCTGCACCCCAGTTTCTCCCCAATATCTTCTTTCCTGAAAGAATTACTACCATCCCAAGCCAAGATACATGATGACAAAAATAGTAGAAAATTAAAAGAAAACTCATAAATCCATAACCTCATATTATTCAAAATATATAACACATAAATCAATCCCAATCCAAAATAACTGAAATTTCAATTTACATATTGATGTAATGGAATAACCTGGCACCCCCATGAATGACTACACTATACGTAGCAACTACTTATAAGTATCTGTAAGGCAATGGACTACGTGTGACTTACTGGCATCTGCTGAGTATGACTCTGACTTACTCAAGAACTATTTGACCTTCCAAACAGCAGCACTCACTACTGGTTTACAATAACCTTTATTTAGTTATCCAGCATGTTGTTCCAGTGATATTCCTACTAGCACAGAATATATACACACACACACACACATATATATATATATATATATATCTATATATATATATATATATATATATATCTATATATATATATCTATATATATATATATATATATATATAAGTGAACATTAAAGTCAACAACACTCAGAGGAAATATTGGGCATTGTAGGTAGTCCATTCTGATGGTGGTTTGTTCCATGTTCAATGATTACTTTTATATTTACATACGTTCTATCTCTAATATTGAGCACTTTATCCCATAAATATAGCACACCTTAAAACTATATTTCTTCATATATACACACACACACACACACACACACACACATCTCCTACACACTTTCGTTTAATAGGCATTTATCTGTATCACTTCATGTCCATAATTTCCTGTAATGTTGTATTCTTTGTTTCAGATGGGTGCTCGCAACTTGGCCATTGTTCTTGGTCCAACTTTGATTCGCCGTTCTGATGAGGATGTCCAGGGCATGGCTGTTGACATGTCACACCAGTGTCGAATCATAGAAAGAATTATTCTTCACGTAAGTATTCCTTCTTTTCTTTTTTTTTTATCTTAACTTGGGGGGGGGGAGAATCAAACAAGGTTTTTGGCATAGATGGAGGAGGAGGAGTGTGAGGAAAAGACAAGATTAAAATAACTAATTTCTTTATTACTGATACATAAATGGGTCATTGATTGAGGCTAATATTATGCTTACACTCTTCATACATAGTGAGAGTTTACTCATAAGCCAGTCTTCATAAACAAGGTGTCTACACTTCTTTCTTGAGGCTAGTGAGAAACTGACCGTTGGAAGATGTAAGCTTTTTGCCAGTAGAACTGCTATCAATTTGGGCATCTATTTATTTCAGGTCAAAGTGCATGATAAATAAGGCTTCACACAGCAAAAACTGTTTATTTATAGCAATTATGTATCAGGAACCTTTTCAAGCAGTCTTCTTTTCTTTTTTTTTTTTTTTTTTTTTCGGAATGCGTTAATTTGCTAAATGAGGTAAAATTGAAAAAAATTATGAAAGGTTTTAAAAAAATATGGATAAAGTTTATTTGAAGACACAAGATTTGAAATCTATCATACATATCTATAAGTCTGCCATTTGTCCATGCTGAGAATATTGTTGCTACATATCGTCTGGTGCCCCTGCTATTTAACTTGAGTTTCTTGATAAAATCCAAACCACCACTTTTTCTATAAATACTTTCATTGTAATTATTCAGATGGTCCCTTCACTATGGCACCTAGACTTTTCGAATTTAAGCGTAGTACTAGACTGGTATCAAGATCTCTTCCATTTGCAGTCGATTTGGCTAGATATAGCCCTAAATTCTATGCAAACAGTTTCTTTTCCCACACTTCTCGTTTGTGGAACTCCCTTCCGGCTGATTACTCTTTCCTCTTCCGCTCATTATTAATGTTTCTGTTTTTAATTCTTTCACATCCTGTAACCCCTTGTGTCTTAGTGGCTTTTCTGCCTTGCATGGGTGATACCAATTTAAAAAAAATTATAAATATATAAACCTTCCTTCTGATGTGTGCTTTCAATGTGACTGTCACTAAATTCCAAATTTGGGAGCCATAACTTTAATTTGTTGTTTCAAATTTTATAACGAGCTTGTAAAATCAATTAAATGTTCACTTGTGTGTTTTATGGAAAATAGGAAAATATTAAAGACTGTTTATTATTTATGAACTATTATCCTCATTTTTGTTGTTATAACATTTCAGCCTTTATCAGGTGCTTGTCAATCTGGGTAACTTTCAAGGAATTTCAAACTGAACCTTTTATTTAATCTACGGCAGTAGATTGTTCTCATTCTGTGATCATGTCTTGGAATATCTAATTTAGTTCTGGAACAAGAACTATCAACTACCATACATAAGGTATTTGATTTGAAATTTCCAAGGAAGACCAAGAAAGCATAATGTATCTGTAAAATAGCATCTTGACTGAATGGAGGATGGTAGCTTGATTTTTGCCTTTAGTTAGTTTCAGGCACTTGTCCTGCATAAATTGCAATAAGTTGATAAATTTTTTGTAGTTTGGGCTTCAGATAACAACTAAATATTTGAATACTGTTTGAATAAATGCAGTGTAAAAATGACATGAACTGAGATTTTTAAATAAAAAATATTTACTTTTACACATGTTGTAAATCAATTTGCTTGGCATGTTTTATGATTGGTAACACAATCTTGATTTATTTTCAATGTCAGAGATTTTGTAAAATTTAACTGTCATCTTTATTTTTATTTTCCAGCCGGATTGGTTCTTTAGTTCTTGGGATGAAGATTGCAATGTTCCATCTGAGGAGAATGGAACAGCAGAAAATGTACCTGGGAGTACCCCAAGTTCAGTTATGAATTCTTTGGCCTCACCTGATGGTGACAGCCTTGGTAAGTTATTTGCGATATCTTGGTAACGACAGCTTTCAGGGGGTTATTTGTGATGACTTTAAAAAACAAGAACATCTTTTGTTATTGCAAAAGTTATCTGAATTATAAATCTCATTTTATTTCATTTTTACCCCAAACTTTAAAGAATTTATTCTGATTGGACCCATACGTTTCAGCATCATATGTAATAGAAATACTATTCAATATTTTATAAACTCAAGTAAAGTGTGTGAAAAATCGAGGGAAGGTGTTTACATTAACCGTATGAATCAATGATCTCTTATCTGAAAAGATGAGAAAGGATTTTTCTTCATTAAACAAAGACTAAGGAATCAATGCAATGTCAGATTCTTTTTATATTAGTGTTTTAGAGTAGTTTCACAGTGGAGGCTTGTATTTCACTAAGTCGGTCCTAAAAAGGTTCGACGTACAAAACGTTAGGAACTTGTTATAATAGTTAATGACGCAGCAATCTAGTTGTGGTGGTTGATACTTTAATGTCCGACATCGACTGACTCACCAACTCACTGAGCTCCCTCGCAACTGCTACTACTACTACTTATTATAGGTGGGAGAGTCTATTAACAATAGAATAGGTATGTTCTAGTATAACAAATAGACAGAAAGGAAAAAAAGAAATTTGATTTGTTGAATTGAGAGCTTCTTTCCTTCCAAGATTTCTTTCAACTCTTGATCTCATTCTTGTTATAAACAACTTTCTTTTGGTTGATCCTTTCTATAGCCTTCTTCAGAAAAAACAATTTATGTGGAAAGTGTTTGAGGATGGCTCTTTCTTTCTCAACCCTATCAAGGTTATGCCCTTTCTCTCTTAACCAGGATGTGCCCATTACAACAGTGACCCAAGAGAGAATGCTTTTATGTGCAATTGCTTGGGGAAATGGAATCACTGAACAGGTTTCAAATGTCAACCAATGCTGTTTGCATACACATTCCCTAATGTTCTTTTGACAAAGTACGAGTTTTTTTCCTTGAAATAGAAGGGTATACTGAGCCCTTTAGCCTTGGTAGGAAAACTTTAAAATTTATAAAATAGAATAGAGAGGAACTTCATCAGCCCTTCTTACCCTTTTGGACACACATGCATTTGAAGAATGACTTACGGGATGCCTACATCCGTATTTACTCAGGTTAGCCATTAATTTTGGGTTACTCACTACTATGCAAGCTTATTAACCATTACTCCACAGCATATTTAATAATATTAGTCTAGCACAAGGGTATATGTGAGGAGTGCCCAGTGAAGACTGAACTCCATAGTAGATTGGTTCATTTTTCATTACACACATTAAGGTGCTTTTTATGCATGTGACATATAAATGTAGCTTTTTAGGCAAAAGAAAATTCTATCGAATATGTGGGTGGCATAATGGTAACTGGTGCTGTAAATGGAATCGGCAAGTAGACTTCAAATTCTTGCCTATTATTATTATAATATTATTTTTGATTTTGCACAACTGTCCTTCAGAATGGAATGAATCAGTCTTTTTGTCTCCCACCCTGTAACTATGGATTAAATAACAGAGACTTTGGTGGCAACCAGTTTAGGAGAAAGATTAATCTGAATTCAAACAATGGAGAAGGCAACAAGAAGCCAATTCAGTATCTTTCCCAAGAAGTCATGGCATTTCACAGATAATTAAAAAAAAGTTAAAAAAAAAAAAATACAGAATTTATGGAGAACCATGATTGCTAGGGTTTTGAAGGAATAAGACATGAAAAATAGCAATGTAATAATGAAAAAAAAAAAAATAACATTAAAAAGGGACAAAATCTGCTCTTTTTTTTTTTTTTTTCTTCAGGTAACTGAACACAAAACTCATTCTTGTTTATTTAAGCAAGAACTACACACTGCTATTTTAAGCCTAAAAATTAAAAATCCCTAAAGAAAAGTATTTTTTTTTTTTTTTTTTTTTTTTAGATATGGAAATTATTCTTTCATCTTCTGGAATCTGTCAAAAGTTTTACGTTTCTGGTTGCTTTTTAGCTTTACATAGCAAATAGTTTTATGTTTGAGATAAGAAAGCTGAGTTGATAAAGAAGAGAAAAAAAACACTCCTCATTACTTTTTTTTGTTAATATTTCAGTCATTCCATCTTTTTCTAGAGGAGGACCACTTAAGAAGTAGTTCATGAATCTCTATTAATGGCTGCAGACTTTGTTCCCCATGCTGCTTTTTCCCCCAGTATTTATCAGTGGCAATCATCATGACTAATTTCTCTGCAAACAAGTCTTTTGTAATTGGAATAAAAGCCCAAGGAAAGTTCCATGCTGCATCTTTGCAATTTAGCTACTCATATATATATATATATATATATATATATATATATATATATATTGTTGATGTAGATGTCCTGGAAATTGAACTTACAGACATATATATATATATATATATATATGTATATATATGTGTGTGTGTGTGTATTAGTCATTCACAGATAGACTGTATCACAGCTCATCAGTGTAGCTAGACATCCAATTGCTTCAAGCCAGGATCTAAACTCAACTGATTTTATATCAGTCAGAGACCCACCCTTACACCTAGGCTATCAGCACACAGCAGAGAGAGGGATTTTTAATGCATTATATACGTGATATATAAACATCATAGTGCTCAATTCTTAGGAAGAGCGATGCATTAAAGCAGCATCAGCTGTTAAAATTCCCTTTTCTTCATAGTGCTCAATCAGCAAACGACAGCAGATATGAGATAACAATATATATATTTTTAATATATCAAGCAAAATATTGGGGAAAATGTATGACAAAGTGCAAAAAGAAAGTGCTTTGATCACAAGGTCATCTATAGTAAATCTGTGCCTGGGCTCTTACAACATTTCACCATTCCTGGCAGAACTTCTATTATCACAGTGTGAGATGTCTAATAACAAAAGTAATAGAAAGAAAAAGAATCTAAATGAAATGAACTAGATTAAAAAAAAAATTTTAAATTTCCAGCATTTCTTGTTGGTACGCTTGTGTAGTTGCACAAACATAACAAATTTAGTTTGATGAAGTTTCAAAGGACAAAACACGTCACAAGAAAACTTTTTCACTTTGTCATACATTTTTCCCCAATATATAGGATCTTCAGGATAAGCCAGCTTACCCTGAAGATCCGTTTAGGTGAAAGTTAGATAGGTTTTCCTGGCTCTTTAGGATTTATTTTAGTTATTCCCGCTCTACTTAACATATTGAGCACTCTACTTTTTAGTCTTACTACTCGCTTTGTTTTTTTTTTCTAAAAACTTAAGGCACTGGACGATTTATTTCACCCTGTTCAGATGTTTTTAGTTCTTTCTTTTTTTTTTATTTCCAATTTTTTCCTTGGGTACTTATTTGTTTTGACATATCTACAAGTTGAGCTATCTGAAGTTTTTTCCAAACGAGTATTACTATCAGTGTGTGTGTATGTATATATATATATATATATATATATATATATATATATATATATATATGAACATGCATTCCCTCCAGAGAAACTGTCATTATATCTGATGTGCTTTGACCTTTCGGCTACAAAGTGCATCAATGACCAAGCTAAGTCTCAATAGTGCCTTTAAACAAATTTTTTTTTGACTCTCAAAATAGACATATTTGCTCAGTTTTGTATCCTAACATAAACAAAGCAATTTTTAAATAAAGGAATGGATTTTGTTATGTATTAATCCAACAGATTTTTTGTTACTTTAATGTTATTTTTAGTTGATACCCATATTTGAGTAGATGCTCTGTTTAATTATTAAACAGTATATTTATTTTTATATTCAAGAAATCTTATTAGAAAAAATCTTCTTCATTACTGGTTATATGTTACAAGATGCCTTTTATAGTGACTGATTTTGAATTGAAAGCCTCCTGAGCCATTTTAGAGCAGTACAGTCACTAAAGTTGTCCCATCCCGTTCACTAAACGCATTCTCTGGGTTACTTCTGCTGCATCTATACAGTCATAAAGTCTAACTTACAGGTAATGTTTGGAGCCAGTCTGTTAATTTCACTGGTTAGTATTGTTCTGAAGTTTCCCTTGTATTAAATGATGTGTGTAGGTCTTTCTGGAAGAGTTGCTCAAACAGATGAAGTCATTCTTTGGGTTGCTATGCTGTTTTGACTGATTCATTCTACAGCTTTCTTCTGTACATAAAAATAGGCAAGTTTCTTTAGAAAAGAGATTCTTCACTTTGAAGAAGGCTGGAGAATGGGTTGGCTGAAACATTAATCAACAACAAAGAGCAAAACTTATTATTGGGTTCTTATGAGATTATCCCATGTGTTATTATACCTGACCCCTGATAATCTGACTAATCAGTTAATCTAACCTTCTAAGTTTTCTTTTGTGTCTAATCTGTAAGACATTCTGTTGTACAAGTAATCTTCCTTACACTGACAACACCAGGTGGCAGTGTCTTTGTTAAAACAATAGCAGTGTGTGCTATAAGCCAGGATGTGAAAATACTGACTCATCAAACTATAACAATTAGATAAAAATATATTTATTAAAGTCTCACATGTGAAAAAAAAAATAATAATAATAATAATAGTATAAGTTTAACAAAATATGTCCTTGTTTTTTGATGGCATGAGCAAACTAGTATTAATGTTATTGGACATAAATTGATGAATCATTTTTTAATTGTTATTAAATTAACTAATAAATTAACCCCCCCCCTCTGGAATTACTACATAATAATTGGCAAAAATATATTTATAAATTCAAATGCAAAAACCTTCTCATAATAGAAAGGACTTAAGAAATTAGGTCATCATTTTTTATGACTGACGTAAACTAGTTTAGCAATAAAATATAGATTATTATATTTCAATGGTGCAGAAAGGAGGTCAATTAGGTTTTGGTAGCTTGAGGGGGGGATAGTATTCTGACTGGCCATTTTTCCAACCCTCTTCATATGAATTGTTCATTTCATGACTTGTTCTTTTAAAATTAGATTGCAGTGATTGAAGATTAACTTTCACTATATT